TAGGGAAAAAAAAACAAACAACAGAGCTGTGACAACTGTCACTGACTCTAGACCTTCCTTACCATGCTTCTGTTTTTTCCTTCCTTCTGACAAAAAAATAAGCATTGTGCTCGCTTGCAAGCGAGAAGATCAGTTTGAAATACAGACCTGTAATATTTATGCCCCTGTGCTTTCTAAAGCAATTCATCTGTGTTACAAGAATATGTTGTAAGTTGCTCCCCCGCCCAATTGTTCAGTCAAGGCAATAGAAAACATTGTCTACTCACTGATCAGGTCACAGAGCTCATGAGGTAGCTTCCTTGTGTTTGTTGCCAACACTTGCCTTCCCACATCTTCAAAGATAACCGGCCGAGACTCAAGGTTCATCATGAGCATGGACTTCAGCTGCGTCTTCGCTCGCTCAAGTTCTACCTGTAAATGAGCAGCAAATACAAATAGATGTTTAAAATAGTCTGGCCGCTGCTCTGTAATATAAGATGCCACGTAAGAGTTCTGGAAACACCTTCCTCTTTGTGAATATTCTTTTACAGAAGTATTTAACATACTTATCTACAAAAATTCATTCTAGCAAGGTCAGTGCAATGCAATATTTTGGCTCAAAGGCCGTCTGCAAGTTAGGCTGCTGACCTCTCCTACTGCTCCTGCCATTAGGATGAATTCTCTTGTGATGATTTCCACCATCTCTCGAACCTAGGAAAAACAGATAATTGAAAGAAGATTAGAACAATGCTTATTCTGTTAACATTTCTGTCTGGTAATAAGTGATGTGATTACTTTTTAAGGACAGCTGTCTTTGAATACCGGACTATATACCTGTTTTGGATCTGCACTGGCATGTATACACAGGAGACCCGTATCCTCGTAACTGTGGTGGTAAGAAGTTGCATTATACATCCAGTGGTGCCTGTGTGTATATAAACAGTATTTAAAAATTTAAACAACAGAATTTAAATGTAAAAATTAAACAAACATGGACAGCAAGTCCCCTCCTAGCACACATTCAGGATTCTCAGCGGTGCCAGTGAGAATTGTCAGTTCCTGCCTCTGACGTAACTTCTGCATGTGCCATCTACTTCTTTCTCTCCACTTGCATCCTTGAGACCAAACCCAGAACGATACAGAGCAGTATTACTGGTACCTACTGCCAATTCTGTTCTTATCCCCTGACTAAAGGATGGATCGGGCCAGTAGACGAAGACAGGATTCCTGGTCATTGCTGTCCTTTACTTTCACTGTCTCACAACACCCACTGACGAATCAGTCACACGTTTCAAACGCAATAAGCTTATGTAAAACCTGGGGGTGTTTGCTTTAAAAAGATGAAGCCATCCATGCTAACCTGCTAGAGAAGACTGCTTCTGCTATCCCTTAAACAGAAAGGCAAACAAACCTGTTGAGCACATTGAGATACAGTCGGGTGAACATGCCCTTGCCAGGCCCTCCAGCTGAAAAAGAGCCACCGCCTCCCATCATCATGTTTAATACCGCAAAGGGAATGAAATCTTCCTCCTGAATTGCAACAAGAAATTCAGTCAGCTAATAGCAGAGCTCCCAACAGTCTGAAACGAGTAAAGAGGGAGAAAAAGAGCCAGAAAGAAACATGGCAGAAGAAGAATGAAAAGGTCAGTGCCTTCATCAGACCATGAGCGAAAAAGCTGCTTGTCTGTACCTGCAGCATCAGCAGCAACAGTGCCACTGTTTACATAATAGTATGTACAGATAACATTCTGGAATTTGTCAAGAACAGGGCACCCCAAACAAAGGATTTTAGGTTGATACTTACTAAAAATGAGCAGCTTTCTAACCCAATCATGATGTGGGTAAGCTCCGGGATGGGAGTAGGGCCCAGACTCACATCTGACATATCTTTTTCAACCTGTGGGAAGAGCAGACAAATTCTTAGGATGGATTTTCACCTCTGTCGTATCCAGCTTGATACATTCCCAATAATTAGCCTGTCGCCCAGATCATGGCTCTCATGGCCAGTTTTGGCTCTCATTCATGAACAGTATGTAATTTTATAGAGATTATGTAATTAAATAGATTTAATTAAATAGATGTAATTAAATAGAGAAATCAGTTCAAATCCAAATCTGCATCTCCAACATACAGGAAGAGGCACGATGCCACCTCCACCTTCCTTTTACCTTGACAATGCCTCCTGTATACTGAGCCACTGATCTGTCCACATCCTTGGTCTGCCCGCTGCCCCACACCGGCTCCACGCCAAGTAGATGTTTCCTCGCACACTCCACTAACTGCTCGTGCTCGATTCCCACCCCAGCAAGCACCATCCTGTCTGGCGTATAATAGTTGCGCAGGTACGAATGCAGGACTTCTCGATCAATTTTGTCAGTATTTTCCACTGGGCAGAACCTATTCAGTCCAACTGTATTGTCTCTGTAGGCTGCCTAAAAGGAAACATTCATTAAAGTAGCAAATATTACTGCACACCCCTCCATCTGAACTTTCTCTGTTTTAGAATTATGCCTACTTGTTTGAGACATGCGAGAGAAGAAAGGCTGAGCATTATTTCACTAATGTCAGCATAACTCAACAACATGCTGTCACCCATGTCAACAAAGATAAGTTATAGATAGTTGAGTTAAAATCTTTCACGTGTGTAGAATGTAGGATTTCAAAGCGGAGGGACAGCAAAATTCTCCTTCTCACCACTGAAATCTGAGTAACGGAAAAATCTGTTTTCGGAATATTCTAAAATAAACCCTGAAGTTGAGGAAGAGAATACAGCATGTCTCATACAGGGCACTGCACACAAGGTAGACTTTTCAGCGTTTTACCGCATGGATCATTTCTGTGAGAAGAGGCTCTGGATCAGGTCTCATATTCAAGTCTTCAAGCTCAAATCGTATAGCCGTTCGCGTCATCTCAATTTCCTCATCTGTAATAAGAGAGAAAGCAAGAGATAACCACCAGACAAAATACTCAATTGCTACATGATAACTTCTTGATAAGCACGATCTAATGGAGAATTCTGAAATCTAATAGCAAGTCCTGCATTGTGAGTCTTTTTTTGAGACAGACTTATGTTCCCAGACCTGATAACCTGGGTTGTAGTGCTACATCAGCCAGCAAGTTGACCACTGTGTCCAGGCCTTTGGCGTCAGCAGAAACAGCGTACATTATGGTGTCCCTGCAACACAAACAGACGGGTTCGGCCCTGAGAAGTCATATCTATGATCATTCAGTAAACGAGCATCAGGAAATCACAGATAAAGCTTCCTGACCATTATCATTAAAGGCTTTCAAAAGGAAACAGAACTGACTTTTATAACCCTTTCAGGTTCATTTTTGTAGCTTCTTAGCAGTCGCCGCAGACAGATCTCTGCTGCTTAGAAGCAAAAACTGGCTTTTACTGTCGCACACTAGAAAAAGCAACTCAGACTACTGTCAGTGTTACAACCACTCTGGTAACCAAGCACAGAGAAAGAGCATCATACCTTGATGCCTGGCAGTCACAAATGCCTCCGTGCTTTTCTAAGGTAAGGAGAATTTCATCTTTGCTGCCAAACTGAGCTGTGGACTAAGAATGAAGATACCAGTATTATGAATTGGTAAAACGATAGCTTTACAATCTTTCAGTCTGACCCTGAACAAGCATCATCCTCTGCATTCTTTAAGTCAAATGGTTTGCTAAATACTCACTGACCTTGGAGGTGAAAGCACAACAGACTTTCAAAATATAAGTATGGTCATAATGACCTGGAATACCTCCACCATCTATTTAAACAGATCAAACCCACAGTGGCACTGTGAGGAGCGGGCCCTGCCCTCGGCCGCTCTCTCTCACTTCCCCTCACTGCTGTGCAGATTTACAGTGTTCCACACAGGCTCCGGGACCCTGTCAGGACAAGAACGGTACTCACAGAGAAGGCCAGCTTTTCCAAGAAGTGAGAGATGCCGCTGAGGTATTTCGCTTCATGTCTTGATCCCGAATTTACGAGAACTAGCGTTAAGAATAAAAAAAGTTAGCATGATTTTTACCCCCCCCGGATCCTTACACACAGGCCAAGCACCCGGGGGAGGTGAAGTGTCACCTCCGTGTCCCCATCCTGGCCTGCAGGGGCCGGTGTGGCTGCCCCCAGCTCAGGCCGGTGCCCGGGCCCAGCTCGGTGCCCGCCCCCACTATTGCCGGGTACTCACGGCCCACGGTGCAGAACTGCCCGAACTTCTTCTGGGAGGCGACACGCAGCCCATTCTCCAGCACCGTCACCCTCGTCTCGAACCGCTCCCGGCCC